CTCAGAAACCAGATTGAAAGCACATCCTTTTTTAACCCAGAGACAAGTCTGAAAAGGACGAAGTTAAGCACTGGATATTCTTAGCCTGGAGCGTGTCTGGCAAACCTTTGCCTGATTGGGTGTCTGCAGTTATTACAAAGGACTTTATCCGGGAGTTTGGCTGAGCCTGTTCGTCCTTCCAAATTACATTCAGATGTTTGAACGCTTTTTTTTGCCAAGAAAAAACACAGGAATGAAATGAGAGCTTTGAAACCAAAAGGGAGAGGTGAATTTTACACAGATGATGCAATGCATTGGGGGGTTTTCTGTTATAATAATAATCATAATAATAATCTTTGCACTTGATATAGCACCCCCTGTACCATTGTAGGAACCTCTCGAAACGCAGCACACGATTTACCGTCAGGTGTAGTGACTGTGTATTTTGTAGATGAAGGCAGCAGCCAGTTTGCACACAGCTGATCTGGTTAACATTGGCTGTTCCAAGTCAATAATTTCCTCTTCCCAAACCCAACACCAGCAAATCACAGCCCTTCACTTCTGACAGCTGATGGACACCTTCTTATTGCAAAACAGAAACTGACAAAAAGTTTTGATCCTCAACATAGGGCAATTTCCCAATGTATTCCCCAGGCTCTGGAGAGCTGTAATACAAACCATTAAACATCAGGAACGTGGGCTCGGCTATCACCAGGGCAGACAACGGTGACATATACAAATGCAACATAAATGAAGATTACTATATTATATATACATGCATACATACACACACAGTATATCAAGGCCTATAATAAGGATTAAAAATCTCTGATCATTTCAGTACGAAATCTCGGGTTGAAATTTGCTTTCTGTAGCTGTCATCATAAGGAACGTGTTTCGAAACCCCACAATTTCACGCCCTATTTGTTCAGAGTTTCAAGCGTTTCCTTTCGTAAAATTTAAGTTAATATTTGTATGTTTTTGTAAAGGCAGAAGTGGGGAAAGCCGCCCTCCCCCAACTGCCAACCATGAAGTTTAAGAAAGTCCCAGATTCCGAACTAAGAATTCAAAGAAATTCCTGTTTTGCTGGGGATGGGGAGAGAGTGTGTATGTGGGTGTGTGTGTGTGTGTGGGGGGGTGTATGGGGGTGGGGGGGGGGGGTGTTGGGGGGTGGGTGGGGGTGTATGTGGGGGGGGTGGTAACTACATCTGGCATTGCTTTGCTAACAGAATAAAGTATTTTGCTCGAGTTTGGTAAGGAGTTCCTTAAAAACATACAGAGTTTACTTTATATTCCCAAAGCAAACCCCCCCCCCCCCCACCCCCCCTCTCTATCTCTCTCACCAGCAATCACTCACTCTATCTCTCACCAACTGACACACTCTCTCTCTCTCTCTCCCCCAGTGATGGGATGGGATGGGATGGGATGGAGAGGTTGTTGGCGTCTCCACAGCAACACGAAGACACAGGAATGGAATGAAAGTCTGTGGTCAGTCTCGGGGCCGTTTGAGAGGGTTTAGATGCTCCTCACACGCCTTCCCAGTTCCCTCCCCCCACTGCTCAAGCTTTCCCGAGACACGTTATAACTAACCCTTCCCCCGTGAAAACAGTTGCTCAGCGATATACGTTTCGGGAGGAAATCTGATAACGTTCGCCAGTAATATTTTTTATGACCTCTCTCTCTCACTCTCACTCTCTCCCCCTTCTCCATCCACGTCCCACAACAGGTCGCAGATGGGGGGGAGTTGGGGGTTGGGGGGGGAGAGGGGTCAGAGTAACACAGTGAGCAAAAGAGAAAGTAAAGTGAAGTGAGAAGCGATCCGCAGCCCTCGACTCACCGCTGACTCCCCGTCTGTGGCTGTGACTGTGGCTGTGACTCCATCCCCTGAAACCTTCTCAAAAGTAAACAAGACTTTGTTGCCAGGAGTTGGCTGTTTGGTTTGTGTTGGTTGCGGTGTGAGAAACTCTGTGAGCCCGGAAGAGCCTTAACCCACCCTCCGCCTCTCTCTCTCTCTCTCTCTATTCCCCTCCTTCCTCCTTCGCTCTCTCCACTCCCCGCATTGGCCGCTGCAGTAACAATAGGGGGGGACCAGAGGTCTCCAATCCGCCTCCTACATGTACATGTTTCCGCCTCCCGCTTCCCCCCCAAAAGTTACAGCCGCAAATGTGGTCGTTTTCAACAGCAACAACAACAATAATAACAATAATAACAATAATAACAAGCCTTGCAGTTGATTGGGCGCCTTATCACGTCTTCGAAACATCTCAAAGCGCTTCGCAGAATAGACTGGAAAGTGGATTAACTATCCTGTGGGCAAAACCCGGCAGCCGATTGCACTCAGACAACTGTCGAGACCTCGTCCCCGCGAGTGGCCAGCAATCCCCCAAGTAAAACTGGTCACTCACTCCATGGCTGTTTTGGGACGTTGCTGTCCGCAATTGGCTGCCGCGTTTCGCCCCAAATATATACAATCGATTCTCTTTACCGTGTATCCTTGTGAAGCGCTTTGAGACGTCTCAAAGACGTGATAAGGCACTGTATCAAATGCCAGGATTACTATTATTAATTAGATGTGTGCTCTTTTTTGCCAGAGCATTAAATGATGGATGCATTAGCCACAAATAAGACAAATTTTCAAAAGAGATTTTCTGTCTTTAAGCAGTTAAACTGCAGCCAGAGTCTGCATCAGAGATTCAGGGCCAGAGTGTATGTTTATCAGCAGTAGAGGGAGCTCCTCACACATCAAGGCAACAATCCCATTGAATTTAGACTTTTTTTTACTTAGCATTTCAGAACGAGCAGAATTGGGACAACTCTTGCAAAGTGGAGTCCTGTAGCTCAGTGGTTAGAGTACTTGTTAGTCGATCGGCGGACTGCTTTTCCGGGGATAATAATCCCTCAGCAAGAATAATAATTTGGTCACTCAATCCATGAATGTTTGTGGGACATTACTGTGCGTAATTGGCTGTCGCGTTTCGTCCACCAATATGAATACTCTCTGCCGATTGTCTATTTGGTTTATTGAAAATGACGAGCACTATTACTGTACAAATACAGTAACATCAAAAGCCATTTACAAAGCTGTGTAATAAACTGTACAAACAACAATAGACACAAGGGTTGTGTGGCTACACAGTGCCATAATAATTAGCTCAGACTATAAACAGATCGCTGTACATAATAAGCATGAGCCTATTAACGCACAGAAAATGGCAGTGAAGAGGGGTAGGGAGAGGAGGTGAGAGTTGAGGTTGGAAATAAAACAAATAGCAGAGTTATATATTCCTGGCACCAAATTAATGGACAAGACACATTTGACAGGAAAGAGAAATGAAAAGGACAAACATCTGCAATAAAACTGAAGGCAGAGCAAGGGCAGGACTTTGGTGCTTAACACAGCTGTGTCACGGCTACTTTTGCTTTTGATGCAATCTGATGCAAGGGATTATTTTCGATGCAGATTCAATTTCTAAACTTTATTTCTTCTACTTGAAATCAAAGGTGGTGGAGGAGGGAGGGGAGGGGGTTGTTGCTGTATATTACCAAAATACCATATGGTCCTCAAGAATATCAGGACCTAAAACCTAAAACGAGTGAGCATCAGTAATTTAGATTGGGAAACCCTATCAACGGGATAGGAGCAAGTGTTGCCCTAGTCAGACAAGAAGGACCAGAGAGAGAAGTTGTGTTTGTTTACTGAAGGCTCCCCCCCACCACCCCAAGTGAGGGACAGTCATGGTGCGGTGGTTCATGGTGGGATCTCTCGCTGTCTCTCTAATTCTATTCTGAATGTTCACAGACTGTGACACAAAGCGTAGGTGACACAACACAAAGCGAAGCCGTGGCAACAGGAGATTCTTCACTTGGCCAAACAAAGGGTGCGTCAGTCACCATAGCGACAACTGCAGGACTTTGGTACCATGGAGGGATGGAGGGATGGAGGGAGGGCGACATCAGGAGGTGACGTCAGCCGCAACCCAACTTCCGGGAAGTGCCAACCGATGGCCTGTTTTTTTCATGAAGAAGACACCGCCGTTACTAATGCAGGCTCCGATTTAATGGACCCAAGGTTATTGTGCTCTCACGGGGCCGAGTGTATTGACTGTCACCGGGGAGAAACAGGTTAGTATTTTGATCGGCAATATCAGAAATAAATTCAGGTCGACTCCCATTCACAATCCTGTCCCTCTGGTCTCTGGGGGTTTGATCCCTGGAGGGGGTTTGTGTTGTGAGACGCTCTAAGACGCTCTATAGAGGACGTTATACTGTTGTTGTGGTTCACAAATCTGAAGCCGCACTTACCTGGAATGGCCACTGTGCGTCACTGTTCTCATCCACTGAATCCCAAGGAGGTTCTGTGAGAGCTTCAACAGCCAAAGCTGCGTCGCTGATTGCACAGAATGCGACTCTCTGGGGAATCTGTCATAGGAATTAACGTGTTACACAAATGGGACAAACAGATTGTGGTGGGTGCACAATGGATGGTTAAAACCAGATCACATAAAAGGCACAGTCATGTGTGCAAAGCTGAGCCAACTCACTCAAACCCAATGCATCCTTTCAAGTTGGTGGTTGGAGATTCTTTCACATTGAGAATGTGTTCCTGAGACTCCCTGTAAAACTCTACCATGTGTATTTTCTACCAATGCTCCCCAAATAAGGGTAACTGTGTGGTGGAAACAGAACGCCCTCTGTTAGGGAGCTTCCCTCCCAGTGGAGCCCTCCTCAGCCTCTCATCAGGAAAATGGAGCGTTTCTGCTTGGGAGAGTTGGGGTGATCTGTTCTAAACGTGGCAACTCTGAAAATCATCACAATGAGATGTTGCCTTTATCCTCTACCCTTAGCTGCATTTACCCAGCTGGGTGAAGGATGCCCGTCAGTAAGCAATGAGAATGAGGAAGGAACAGCACAAAAGAAGGAAAACGAGTGGAAAGAAATAGTCTTTGTTCCAGTTATGAACAAGGACCACTGAAAAGCCACTTGGAGGAGCTCCAGACATTTGGTCGAAATGGTCTCATGGTTCAGCCAACACTATGATCTGTAAAGTAATCAATGTTCCCGATTCAAGTTGATTCGCATAATCAATAATTAATATTAATCAATTGCAGCAAAAGAAAAGTTACGGAATTAACTGTTACATCCAGGTAAGTTTTTCAACAACCGGTCAAATAAGCTGATCAGCATTGAAACAAGGAATTCCATAGAGCGACTTGTATTTCCACTCATTGTTTGGTGTGTGGGTCATCGATCAGATCGATTCAGTCAACTGGGGCTTTCCAAGATCCTCAATAGAAAGAGATGTCAATACTGTGTTTGGAGGTTCTTCATCTCTGCTGTGAAGCCTGATTTCACTTGATTTCACAAGAGGAGCAGTGTTAGCAGCAGCGTTCACCATCTTTACAGTGTTCCCTAAAGTGCAACATTGAATTCTGTTACCAGGAAATCCACGTAATCTCTCTCTTTGGTTTTAAACGCTTCCGCGATTCTCCTCGCCGCCTCTTTGTGCTCCTTCCCGTAGAGTGTAACGCCGTTGACCTCTAAGATCACATGGCCCACCCTCAGCTTGCCACAGTTGTGTGCTGAGCCACCCCTCTGACAAGGAAACAGAGGAGAGAGAGAGAGAAGTGTTACCTATAGAGTGATTATCTGAGAAAGGGTCTTGAGTTCTGAACCTATTCATTATCAACGGAGTGTTAATCCCACAGTCCCTTCACCTTGCCCCTTCCTTTGCCTTGTTCAAGGTCCATCTCAAGACCCTCCTCTTCGACTGTACCTTCTGTCAACCTCCCACTCCCGCCCTCCATTCCTCCTGATCCCAATCCCCAGCTCACATCCAAATTCTTGACTGTCCAGCACCTTTGGATGTCTCCCCAACGTGAACAGTGTTGTGTAAATATAATTTGTTGTTGTTATTGAACCTGTTCAGTGATTATCTGAGTCAGAGAATTAAACACTATATTTGTCCAGTGACTCTGTGACACGGAGCTAAACACTATACCTGGATGGTGACTATACGAGGCAGTGGTTGCCGAGTGTTGGCTCCTCCTTCGATGGCGATTCCCAGTGTGGCCGCGCTCTTGGGGACTCTCACTAGGACTGAGGTTGGCTCTAACAGCCCCGGCTGCAGCAGGAATAAAAAACACACACTAATAAGTGAGAGAAAAATAAGAGTTTTAGAGGATCTTTCTCTTGGAATGAAAGGACCCCCTTTATCCATTCCCACCATATCCCCATCGATGTTTATTCAACATAGATTTACATCTCAAATAAAATTGGCTGTTTGTGGGACACCCCTGGGTGCAATTGGCCTCTGAATTTCACCCACAACATACACAGTCACTCCACTTTACAGTGTATCCTGTGAAGCGCTTTGAGATATCTTGATGACTTGCGAAGGCACTATATCAAATGCAAGGATTATTATTGTTATTATTATTATCACCTCAGGAATGATCCAGGAATTAAGTGCATTGAGAACATCTTAAGCCTAATGTCTGGGGATCTGAACACGTAAACCATAACAGGTTTACAATTCTTCCAGTAGTGACCCACGTATTAATATTAATAATAATGATAATTCTTGGATCTAATACTATTACTGTAATATCAAACCATCTCAAAGTGAACGCTTTGTGGGCAATTGCTGCCAAGTGTAGTGACTGTGCACTTGTATGCAACTGTAAGGAACTTGCCGTGTCTGCAGCTAGTCACACCAGAGGGTCGCTGAGGAGAGACAGAGCCTATTTATTGTCTGTGCGTCAACTGGTAAATTCCCCTCGGACATTACTAAAATCAATTAAAGTGCATTAGAGCAAAGGGAATATAATAAACTAAGCCCAATGGAATTGCAATTTTCCAATGTCTGCATCTTCCAGGATTGAATAACAGCACAAATGTGCTTTGCGAGCTTAAACAGCAAGCAGAGTGTCAGAGCTGCTGGGGAAAGACTCTACATCTCCAGGGACAAGATATTGAGACTGAGTTGAAAGAGGCGATGGATTGTCAGCTGTCATTTCCCTGTGAAGATTACTGTTAATCACACTTGTCTAATCCTAACAAATTGACACCTAAATCACTTTTCTCATGGCTATACATAGACTACTTTACAATCTGAAATGTACAAGACTTGAATATTAAACACACCGAACCTGCAAATCAAAGCCTTAATGCAGTCCCGGCTCAACTACAGCCCGTGGGCAGGTTTCAGATTTTTATGGCATAAATCAAGAAATATTCAATCAAGAAAATGTATTTTGTTGGCCGACCAAAAAGATTAGCCACCCCTGATCCAATGGGGAAGGTGGTCTGAGCTTCCAGACAGTGCTCTCAATGGCAAGCTGGATAAACTCCCAACAGTTACCCCAATTCACACTTAGTGATACCCGAGCCTTGGCTCTCTCCAACATGCACCGCATACTCTCCGGGATTAAGTAAGCAGGTTACAAGTGCAAGTGTGGCACTCAACAATGGAACCCTCAAGCTAGATAGGATACCTGGGTTTGATTCCTGGCAGAGTGAAACCTTAGGCAAGTTTCCTTACTCCATACGCCTGATAATAATCCCTCAAGAAAAAAACAACAATAAATTGGTCATTTTCAATCCACGACTGTTTGTGGGACACTGCTGTGCGCAATTGGCTGCCGCATTTCGCCCACAAATATACAGTCAATTCACTTCTGTGAAGTGCTTTAAGACGTCGAGAAGACATGAAAAGCGCTATCTCAAATGCAAGGATTGTTATTTATTATCATTATTATTCCTCTTAAACACAGTGATGAGTTTCTGTGTGTATCAGATACTCGGCTGAGATAAAAAAATAGGCTGGGAGAGGAAAGTTAATTAATTGCACATTTAATTAATTGTGAAGGAAATGTAGTATTTCTCGAGCACCAAGCTGTCAGCCAAGTCCCACTCAGCAGATATGCCTCAACAGAATGTTGCAGCACAGAAAGAGAGAGAATGTTTTTTTAACACACAGCCCGTCGAATTCTGTAAAGACGGGATCAAAAGGGGTCAAAGCGAATTCTTTGCCTCAACCTTTCCCTGTTAACTTCCATTACCAGCCAATCCACTGTACGGTGTATCCTGTGAAGTGCTTTGAGACGTCTGAATGACGTGATAAGGCACTATATCAAATCCGATGATTATTATTATTAACTTTATTCCGGTGAAAGAGATGAGAAATGAAAGGATTACGTACCGGCTTTGAGGGTCCTTCAGGTTGACTCCCATTAGTGGGGGCGTCTTTGCCGGTTTTGCTCGTCACGGGGACGGGGCTGGTGTCCTTGCTGTTCCCCGCAGCGTCACACACGTCCACTCCACTGTCCTCACTGAGCGTCTGCCCACTGTCCGAGAGCTGGGACAGGGCCACGGCTGTTGGGAACAGGGAAGACCACCTGTTATTGGTGGGAAACCAGCTCCTCATTACCATCCCCCGTTACCCCAGTAAAGACCTTAGTCATCACGGAACTCGCGCACATCACTTGTCTTGTCCAACCGCAAACCACAGGGACCATTTTACCATGAGCTCCCACTGGCTCAATGTCTGGCTTCTGTCTCAGTCACGGTTTCTTTTCTTGTCAGATAGACAGTGTGACTGGCTACAGGGGAGCACAGTGTAACTGTGGGTGCAAAGATATTGAGGGTGCAACAACACCGTGTGCAAGGACACTCTGCAAAGTACTGGGTTTTCAGATGACACTTGCCTCTGGATTGGGGCAACGCACGGACTTCGTTGACATCAGGCTCGCTGTTTGGCTGGTGGACTTCCACCATTATATAGTGCTGATTGGCCGATGCAGGCGGTGGGGGAGGCAGGGGTGGGGGTGGGGGAGGGGGAGTGGCGTGGTACGGAGGGGGAGGAGGGAGAGTTATGTGGGTGGAGGATTGAAGAGCTGGGGGCAGCCGGGATGGTGATGGCGGATGGAGGGGTGGGGACGTGGACTGGTGAGGGCTGGGTGGCCTACGAGTGGGAGACCTCACCCTGGGGAAGGGGCCGATGGGGTGCTGCGACACCTGGCAGAGCTGAGCCCCCACCTCGCTCCTGGCGCTGGGGGGCCGGGAGGAGCCGTGGGCGGAATCATCTGTCGACATGACCGAGGACGAAGAGAAGGACGAGCGTTCGCCAGAGCTGTCAGACCCGGGCACCGGCCGGACCCCCGAGGGGCTCCGAGGGGTCGTGAAGAAGAGGCCGGAGTGTGAGGAGGTCTCGGAGGGTGAACTACGCTTCGGTCTCTCTTGGATTGTCCTGCGCTGCTGGGCGTAGCTGGGGGCGGGGGAGGGGGCTGGGGCGTGGCCAGCGGTGTGGCTGGGGGAGGGGTCAGGAGGGTCGGGGGGCAGTGGAGGTTTGAAGTTGGGGGGATTTTCAGAAAATGAACGGACATCGTCCTGGAAAAGCAAAAATCAATCAATCAATAAATAATCAATACATTGACAAATCAACAACAATAACTGGCATTTGTACAGCACCACGGTGTCTCCCACAGTGTCACCCACAGTGTCACCCACAGTGTCACCCACAGTGTCACCCACAGTGTCTCACAGCGAGTGTGGAATTCACTCCCCCACAGGCCAGGGGAGTCCATTGATGAACCAGGGAGCTGGAGATGCTGGTGACAACGCCTGCTGATAAACAACCAATGTCCAACGTGCTGCGGACATGTTTCTGGCCAAACCTGGTGACAGCCGCGATGGTGATGAACGTTACGGAGGCAGTGCTTACCAGAGAGACGTCTGGCAGCTGGTCAATATCTCCCTGCAGCCGGTCATTGGCACTTTCGAGGTCTGTATCGTTCTGCACATGAACACAGTGCACATGGGGTTAAATCTACTCGTCAGAGCCATAGAAAGGATAGTTTGGGTGGTGGCATTGGGAGAGGTGGTCACAGCGCTTGAGACTATTACACACCTGAACCCCAAGTGGTGTAGACCTCACCTAACGGACTGACCTCTGAGTAACAGTATGAGAACTCTCCAGGTATATGCTAGAGAGTGTGATCGACCGACCAACCGACCGACCGACTGACCGACAGGCTGATTAACTCCCTCTCCTTCTCTGTGTAAGAAGATACTTCCTGGTGTCTGTCCGGGACTTGTAGCCACTTTCCCTGCTCCTTGGCACAGCTGACAGTATCACTGATTTTTACTTCCTGTTAGATTTCCTCAGGCATGGTGGGCGGGGGGTTAAGTGGGGGGTGTGGGGGGGCACTTCTGACAATCAGCGGCTCCCCCAACACTACCACTGGAGGGTCAGCCTGAACCACGAGCTCAAAGTCCCTGAGGAGGGGGCTTGATCTGTAAGTTTCTAATCCACAGACGAGAACGAGGGTGTGGGTGTGGTTGGGGGGGTGGTAAGATGGAGGGCAGTTTGGTACAGAAAGGGCTCACAATGAAGCCTCTCACTCTGCTCCGCTGATCTCACATGGCACCCGTCAGCACGTGGCACGCTGCGTTGCCGGAGATTAACGTTCGGTGCCACTCGGCTTGTGTGCTGGGCTGCAGCCAGAAAGCTCAGCGTTATGTATTGGCCAGGCTCCAGTAATACAATTTTGCCTTCATTTTAATCTACGGTCTCCAAGCTCACGCATGCAGACAGACATGCATGAAAATATACAGCTGGATAAGCACAATTATTGTTCAACAGAAACATGGAATTGCATGGAGCCACACAGCACGCACACTCAGGCTGTTCTGCTCCTGTTCTGTTCAGCCCAACTGGTCCGTGACACTGTTTATAATCCATGTACTCCAGGTGGAAAAATTGGGAAAAAAAGACAAAGAAAAAAGAAATTGCAAGCAGAAGCCAAACAACCCTACACATGTTGCCAGCCCACACTGTCAGTGTGTGTCAGCCCAGTGCAGTGTTAACGTTTTTGCCTCCGAGTCAGAAGATTGTGGGGTTCAAACCCAACATTGTATAATGCAGCGCTGGGGGGGTGTTTCGCTGTCGGAGGTGCCGTCCTTTGGATGAGACCTTAAACTGAGCTCCCTGTCTGCCTGTTCAGGTGAACGTTAAAGATCCCATGGCACTAATTCGAAAAGAGAAGGGAGTTCTTCTCTCCCCCCCCCTATCCTGGCCAACAATCCCCCAAATAAAATTGGTCATTACTCCATGGCTGTTTGTGCGACACTGCTGCGTACGATCGTGCTGCGGTGTTTGCCTACAAATACACAGTCACTACGCTACACAGTGAAGCACTTTGGGAAGTCCTTCTGACGGGAAAGTCGCTAAACCAAATGCAAGGATTGATTGTTATTAAAAAAAAACACACAAGAGCAAATAACGTGAGTAACGGGTTAGAACCAGGATTGTCTTCACACAAAAACAGCTCGGCAGCTCTAAGCATAACAAAATCCTTCCCCCGACTCACTCCACACTAATGTCAAGCACAGCACTCGAAAGCATACACCACACTGAAAGCCACTGGTACCTCCATAAGGTCTATTAACCACAACAGTCGTTCCTGTAACAAGCAGGTATCAGGATGTGCACAGGAGAAACAGAACAAGGGTTAATGCTTGAGTAGTTTCCAACACGGATAAACAGCGAGTTCTCCCCACAGGAGCCGAGCGAGGAATAAAACACACAAATAGCGGCTTCTCTAACTCTGTGAAGGCTGTGGGCGGAGGTTGGTGTGGGGTGGGGGGCAATTTAGGTTCCACATGCAGTACCAGCTGAGAGCAGCAAACTTACACATTCATACATATACACAGAGATGCACACACACACTGATACACACGTAATCATATATACGCACTCACATACGTACGCACTCACACAGACGTGCACTCACATGCACACGCACTCACATACATACACACACCCACGCACACACACATGAAAGCAAAATAACACGCAAGAACATTTCAATTGGTCCAACGTAAGGAGCTGGTGTCAGAGAGAAATGATTGGCACTATCCAATCCGTCAATGTTTCAGCAAAAGCCACTCAACACAGCACCAGACATACCATTGAGGGGGATGTGGATACCTACCCTGGCAGAACTCAGAGTCGTAGACGTGTAGTAACTAACAGACGATGATGCCGTGTCCCCATATGACATGACAGAGTAGGAATCAGTCCCAGTGCTGGAGTTCTGCCGAGCTTTCATTGACTCAATCTCACGTTTCAGGACTAGATTATCAAATCTGTCCAGATCTTGGGCTGTGATTACACTGCGGACCTCAGAAAGCAGAGAGAACTGCCAAATAGCAGAGAATGCGTTTACTAAAGAAAGAGTTAAAAAAAAAACTTTCACACATATTTGTTACAGTCTCAAAAATGAACGGACCTCCGTTCAGACACAAGGTGGAGGGGAAATTGTGCCAGAGAGAGGGAGAGAGAGAAAGCTCTTTGTGACGTCCTCCTGACGTGAAAAGCGCTGTATGATAATAATAATCCTTGCATCTGATATAGTGCCTTAACATGTCGTCATGCGCTTCAATAATCAATATTATTTATCATAATAATTGCTAGAGAGGTTCACTCAGGTCCTACCTTGGCATGAGTGTTGAGGAGCTCGAAGAGAGCCATCACTAGGGCCTCGATGCTAATGTGATTGTCTTTGTACTCGTCCAGGTAGTAGCTCATGGTGGCTCGCTCACTCTCGTTCAACAGGTGCCTGGCCTGTTCATCCAGCATGGCCCTCGCCTGGCTCACCAGGCTGCTCAGCATGACCTGTGACCCCGCCAGACCCTTGTAAAAGATGGGCTGAGCGGCCAACAAATAAATAAAAAAAGAACATAAATAATTGAGAAACAAACAAACAAATAAAAATAAATATACATACATACCTATCTACCTACCTACCTACCTACCTAACTAACTAACTAACACGCATTAGTTCTTTGTCGCAAATAGCCACAAAAGCACCTTCTCTCGTCTCTCAACATTCAGGGTGTTGGTGTTGGCAGGAAGGAACATAAGTTAAGAATCTACAGCACAGAAGGAGGCGATTCAAGTCTATAGAGTCTACACTGGCTCTCAGAGCAAAAGCTGCACTTTCATACCCACTATCCTTATACCTCTTCAAGCCTCTATCCTTCATATATCCATCTCCTTCCCTCTTGAAATGCCAACAATGGACTCTGCCTCTGCCTTCTCACTTGGCAGGGCATTCCACGTCTCAACAACTCTCTGTGCAAAAATAATTCTCTCAAACTCTGCTTTCAGTTCTTACCTTAAGAACTACCTCCCCTTCCCCTTCTCGCTTGCTTTGCTTGGAGTAAGACCCCACCAATCATAAACTATTCCCCTTCAGTCCTTCCCAAACCCTTGTTCTTCACACGTCAACCCAATTCCTTTTAAAACAACGTAACAGCTTGTGGTAACCCATTCCATATCCCAATCGTGTGTGGTGTGTGTGTGTGTGTGTGTGTGTGTGTGTGCACATGACTGTGTGAGTGTGTAACCGAGCCCCAATTTTCTAACCTCTTCCTTTTTGCCCCAGGTCACCATCTTGAATTTATGCTCCAGGATATAATGGTAACACTATTTAAGCAGACACCAGCTTTCAGTCCATAAAGGTGGACCACGGATGGGAGTGGGGCTTTGGCTCTAAGTGTCTCAGCTCTGCTTGGGACCAATGTTGACCCCTGGACAAGGCTTAAAGCAGCTCACAGCCTTACATCAACGCTCCCCCCCCCACCTTGGTGGTCACTGCTAAAGTGCCCTGATCTCTTCCTATCGGCTCTACCTGGTTGTCCTCATCAATGAACCCGGCCATGTAACGCTTCATCAAAGAGAAAGCAGAAAGCGAGAGAAAAGGAAAAGAGATTTTAGTCAAAGGCGTTTTACACCAGAGAGTGTGTAAAGAGTGTGCGAGTGTGTAAAAAATATAAAAAATATAAAGCGAGTTCGTCACAACTGATGAACTCTGTCTTACCGCAGAACTTCAATGTTTTGTTCACAATCGCACAGGAGAAAAACGGTTAATAATATTTGTTCAGTTTAAGGATTTGGGAGTATTCCAGGGAATGGGAAAGAGTTAAACCTTTCCGAGACATTACCCTACGTGAAAGACACTACATAAACGCTAGTTGTTGTTGCTGTTTTAATTGGGTCAAGACAAGGCTGGCCAATAATAATAATAATCCTTGCATTTGATATAGCACCTTACCGCGTCTTTGAAATGTCTCAAAGCGCTTCACAGAACATACTGTAAAGTGAATTGACTGTATATTTTGTGGATGAAATGCCACAAGACGTTCAATTGGAAACTTGCCCAGTGAGGTCATTGGGAAATAAAGTGAATTACAACAACGTACGACTTTCAATTAAAGACTGAAATTATGAAGCAGAACGTTTGCTATTTCCTGATCCTCATTCGTTGTCACGGTGATCAGAGAGTGTTTCCATCTGGTCTGGACATCCTGGAGTCTTTCTGTGCTTTCTGAGCTCAGCAAAACATACCAGTGACCGGAGAGATGGGTTTCACGGGCAGACTGATTAGATCTGCAATGTTGTCTTCGAGCAGCAAACCACAAAGTGCAAAGGGCCTGGACGAGAGGTTTGAGACGTTCTCATAACTCATTCCCACAATCTCAAAAAGCCAGACACGTGACATTTCATTCTTTTCAAGACCTAATCATGAGGCGTCAGTCTGGCTCAGTCACTAGCGCATTCTGGCCTCTGAATCAGAAGGTTGTGGGTTCGAGCCCCCCCACCAACCCCATCCCCCGCGTCGGGGACTTTGAGACTCACATAGTCTCAGCTGTTGATCTCAAGTCTCTGAGAAAGGCTCAAGTGTCCGTGCCAAAAGAGATTTCAATTTTGAAAAGTGTTTAAAGGAAAGCCTCATTGGTTCTCAATTTATTTGAAAACAAGTCAGCCTCTTCAACCCAAATTGTTCATCTCCCTACCACCAATGCCCCAGTTTCTGTTTGCCTGACAGAAGGGGATGAGAGAATATGCCTTTAATATTTAAAAGGCTTCCAGCCATTGCTAATGAATATACAATCTCATCCCAAATGATTAAAGGTGAACGACACCTGCGTTGAATTCACGATTTGTGCAGCGCGGTTTCCAAAGCAAAAAAATATAATAATGCTAACTCTCTCCACCAATCCTGGGAGGGATTGTGTGACTGTGGTGAGCGTGGCATTGTGCAGCCACTTACCCACATCCATAATGCATACCACACACCGCAATTTCCTGTGCATTTCCAAACCCAATTTACTATGTGCCTCATGCAGCAAATTGCCGCAATTTACTGGAGACCCCCTGCATTCTGTAATTTACTGCAGGCAGAGTGCTCCCTCGCGCTCTCTAGTCTAGCTAATGCTCTCTAGTCTCGCTAGTGCTCTCTAGTGCTCTCTAGTCTCGCTAGTGCTCCCTCATGCTCCCTAGTCTCGCTAATGCTCTCTAGTCTCGCTAGTCTCGCTAGTGCTCCTAGTGCTCCCTAGTCTTGCTAGCGCTCCCTAGTCTCGTTATCATAAATAGCTCAATTTTGCTTTGTTACCTTGTCTTCCCAGCAAATGATGAAAGCTAATTCAATGTTAATTTCATTCCCATTCAGTTCATGAATTCCCCCACACACACCCCCACACATACCCACACACCACCACACACACCCCTATACACAGCCACACCCACACACATTCCCATACACATCCCAACCCTCCCACACAAACCCACGCACACCCCCACACACACCCCCAAGCACACCCTCGACTACTCAGCCTTGGTGTGTCCGTACCCGGGAGTAATTACAACTTCATTAACAAGCGATTACAAGGAAAGTGTGATAAACGGGAAAGGTGATCAATAATTCAAATTCATTTACAATTGTTACGACGCAGCAATTTATGTCAAACCAAGAAGTTAGTTGCTGCTCTTGGACTCCAGGAGGAAAGATTGGGTTCGAAGCCGGTGATATGTGCTGTGCTAATCACCACTGGTGATAATTAGTGAAACTCTCCACACCCCACACTCCCTACCTCATTCCCACACTAAGTTGCTGCTCTTATTTACACATCAATTAGAATGCTTACATACCTCTACTGACCTGAGACACATCTTAAGCACTCTGGAACGCTGCCCTGTGTGTGGGGCGCTGTATAAATGCATATTGTTGTTACCGGTGAATTGACTGCCGGGCACTCAGTGGCCAGACAATCACGCCATGTTGCGATACCGAGTGTCGCCTTCCCAATAAGGTGTCAGCCTTTCCCACAAGTTTGTCCACTTTAAAGCTTTAAAGGTGGAGATTCAGACCTTACATGTATTTTGAATCAGAGGAGAATATAATGATAAACAACAACAACAACAAAATTACATTTTTAAAGCGCCTTTCACATCGGGAGGACGTTACAAGGCGTTGAACAGTCAGGGATCAGGACTCGAGCGTGAAAGAACAAGAGGAGAAGCACTGAGTCCTACCTTAGCCGCAGCCTGGCCAATGTCCTCCCCAGGGATCCTGGAACGGAAACATGAATGTGAAATGATTTTACCTTCATGAATAACGCTCTGACTTTACTGCATCAAATAACCTTGCAATACCCTCTACCTGTCACACTGCAGTTATGTTTTTTCAATGGTTATTATTATGGCCTGTGCTCTGTGAGTCTCAGTCACAGTGTACACGGCACTCACTCACTTGGCTACAGTACACAGCAGCTCAACCCAAGATATTGAGGTCTGACCAGACCACACCAGGCCAGACTACGACATATAGTTCTTGTCGTAACAAACCAACTGCCAGCAGTGCAAAGGAGAGCAAAGAGGGTGCTCCCCAGTGTTAGAGGGAATAATAATAATAATCTATTGGATATAGCACCTTACCATGTCATTGAGACATTTCAAAACGCTTCACTGAATACGCTGTAAAGTGAATGGACTGTGTATTTTGTGGGCAAAACGCGGCAGCCAATTGCGCACAGCAGCGTCCCCACAAACAATCGTGGATTGAGTGATCAAAAAAGGGATCATTACCCCCACGTGACTGGTCTTTGGGAGCTTTGGGACATCCTCCTGACGTGAAAGGCGCTCTATAAATGTAATTTTGTTGTTGTTGGTGGTGGTCTGTCAATCGCCTAACAACCAGATTGTTAACTGGGCAATTGCAGAGCGAAGGGCGAAAAATGTGCGCGGTTTCTCCCTCCGCAGAGCACCGCTGACCAGAGTGATCTGGGTGGGATGCAAATCGCACTGGGATACGGGTACGCTGCCTGGCACTCACTGTTGCCGTTTCTCAAGGTTAATCACAATAGCTGTTGGCTGGAGGCTGCAGAGAAATCCATTGCCTGTCAGCGTGGCTGACATTAACAATCGTTTTCCCTTTAATTAAAGTTAAATGTGAACTCATCGCTATTCCAAGGCCGAGCTGTCCTGCGCTTGTTCAATTAAGGGACTAACAATGAGCATCAGCGAGAGCTGGGAAGTCACTTTGTCACCTGCCCCTCTTGGCTGTGCAGGTCCATGATTGATTGCCACGATCGCTAAACATTTCCCAACCAATATGTGTTGGAATATGTACGTCTGGCAGCTCAGCACAGCAAATCAACACCTGCCACACTCCATTAGAGTTATTGTTTTACACACACGCTCACACCCAACTCCAGCAGGAGTAGGTGGGCACCACAACCACAAGGCTTGTTGCTGGGCTGGTGTTGAGTATGGGTCTGGGGAAAGGGGGCCTCACCCCATCTCTTCTGTGGCGTCCAGTCAATTGGTGCTGAGTTTAAAGCCGGGTTTTAGTAATAATAATAATATGAGAGGCTCAGGCTCTGGAGTCTATCAAAGGCCAATCAATCTAAACACCTACGTTATTTATTGATGATAAGAAATATATTGCAGCAAAAAAGTTATGATTTGTAGCCCCTCAAAACAGACCCCCTTCCTGTTAACAGACTCCATCTCCAATAACAGACCTCTCTCATCCCCCCCTCCACCTTCCATGTTAGGCCTTCAGTTCAAACCTTAGCAAGAATGAACTGTAAGAAAATTAAAAGGGTTCAAACCTTGAATAACAGAAGCAAAAGCTGACTGAGATCAGAGAGGTTGACCTCTAACCATCAGTTGTGCAGAGAATTGGCCTTAATCTCCACACAGAGCCTACATTACATTAGTCACTGATCCTGACTTTACACTGTAAATACAGGAGAGTGCCTGGGATTTAAAGCCAACATGATGCAACATAAGGCCAATGCACTTAATGCATTTAAAATCGCTCGGTAACTAGGATAGTGGTGGCCCCATTAGGTATGTTTTGTGGGGGAGGGAGTTGGGGTGGGTGGGGGGGGGAAGATGGAATATTTTGATTCAATTGTATTAATCACAGCAGAACCAGGGTGAGCGCTATTGGCTTGATGTGGTCAAAGGAACCATGAGGAATTGTAGTTTGATTTACAGTTCAACAAAACTGCTTCTGTTCAGACGCTTGATGAAGGAAGAGGCCACCAATTTGGACAAAAACAACTTGAATTTATATAGCGGCCTTTCACCCCGGGGTGTGGGGTGGGGATTGAGCCTCATTCTTGAAAAGATATGCCTCAGAGGGGATCTTGTGGAGTTATATAGATATATATAGATATAGATATATATAACTTTAAAAGCAATGGAAAAGGTAAACCCAAAACAATGGGTTTAGGACGCATCAAGACAGCAGGACAAGAGGACTAACAGGGTTACAAAGGCGAATTACAGGACGGTCACCGGGAAGCACTGAATACAATGAAGTAACTTCTAAATACAATTATCATGATTTTTCACATGTTTTAGTTGTTGGTCAGTGCACTGTAAAAGGAAACATGTGGGTGGGGGGTTGTGGGGTAACATGACTTTGTGAACACCCTGTGCAACATAAATTGATAGTATATAGTGCGTGCGTTATAATGTGGTATTAAGAGCTGGAGACATAAGGCTGGGACTTACCCTGTGTGGCCTCCAGAGGTCACGCTCTCGCTCAGCTCTGAACCTGAGATCCACTTTGTCTCGTCCACGATGGTGCGAGCGTGAGGCAAGCGGCCCACATCCTTTATGGTCATCATCAGGTGATGTGAGGACTTCAAGATGCTCACAGCCTCATCATGAGGGATACTGAGGAAGCTTCTCCCGTTCACCTCTAAAATCTGGTCCCCGACCTGGAGGGCAACAAAACAATCGCCAAAACATCATTCATCAGGGTTCGGTGACTCAAAATCATGAAATGCGTTGGGTTCAGAGAGACTTGGCCTCTGGAGAGACTCTTATACAGAGTTAATGATGGTACCTTGAGGCCCGTGTGTTCAGCTGCGGATCCCTGGTCCACCCCAGTGATGTAGATGCCCAACGCATACTCAGCACCGCCTCGGATCATCAGCCCCAGTGACTTCCCGTCATCCAGGACCAGGTTCACCTGCAAAAGGCCCAGACGCGGACGGTGGTGAGACAGGAGCCGATCAGATAATTACCCTCCCATTTGTAATGGAATGTGCAAGCCCCCCTCCCCCGGGGGAGACACAGCCTGTTTACCTCAATCCAGAAAGTATTAGGTGCTGGTTGGTAAGAGACAAGGCTTGGGGTGAGTGTGTTGGGGTAACTGCTGGAGCCTGACCGGCTAAAATCACATCGCCATTGAGTGCTCTGTCTGTCAATTCAATGTTTTTTTTAACAGATTCATCATGTTAATTGACAGAAACAACAACCTTATGAGTAAACTTTCCCCTCAAATCTTCCTCAATACATTAAAACACCACCTCATAGGCTTCAAATAAACCTCACTGGCTAAATACAGTAAAAGATAATGATAATAAATTATTCATAATAATAATTTGCAGACTTCAACATATCTGAGAACTTAATTCAGATGACAGAAACATTGGTTAGTTGTACTACAGTAAGATTGCTTCCCATCTAGAGCTCGGTTGCCAAAGCACTCATCATTTTGCTAATAATTAAACTGCAGTCAAAGTGAATGATTAGGGTTATAACAATAATCTTCCAGCACATACTTTGCATTTTATGTTCATTATTTCTGCATTTGCATTCCAGTTTAAGAGCACACTGTGTGTGTGTGTTTTTTTAAAAAAACAATAAAACTCGTTTGGACAGTAATTTAATTGGGGTGTCTGGGGCGAGGTGTGAAATGTGATCAGCATGTTGAAAGTCGTGAGCAGTTCACAACTCCAGATGACAATAATTAAAACCGAGGCACGACTAGGTCTCAGCAGGAAGTTCATGTGTAATGCCTGGGCCAGATGAAAGGTGGGCTCAGTTACACAGCAAATTATTCTCAATTGGGGCTGGAAGGATAGATTGAAGCTGTACAATCCACACTGTACAATAGCGCAGAGGGTAGGAGGTTGGCCGAAGGCACAATCGAAGAGGAAAGTCTTGGTATCAGAGGGTATTTTGTGTTTCTAGAGGGAAGTACACAGGGCATGTCTCTCAAGATAAAGGTCTTGAGAGAAGACGTCTCAAGAGGAGTCCATAAAAGAAAAATAACAATAATCCATACAGCGCAAACCAGATGGAGATGAAAGTTCAGAGTGCTGCTCTTTCTCAAAACTACTGAAAAGAGCAACTTCGTCACAGCAACAAGCATAAATATTCACAAGCGTTTTATTTACAGCTGAACCTCTTGAGCGTTTTTCCCCGCTGTGCTGTGCCCAGATCTGATGGTGACCCAGTCCTGCCCACTGCCCACGCGGACTGCCAGGCGCATGTGCCCAGGGCTTCTGCCCGTTTTGCATTAGAATGAGCTCGTCCTCCCAGCCACACAAAATCGTGAATGAACAAAAGATCAAAAGCATCAATTCAAACGAATAATTCATTAAGTGCAATTAACTGTTCTTAAAGGCACACTCCACAAGTAATCAGACTGCAAGAACTCTTTAAAATAGCTGTTGGGACAGGATAATAATAATAATAATAATAATAATAATAATAATCCTTGCATTTGATAAAGCGCCTTATTACATCGTTGAGACGTCTCAAAGCACTTCACAGAATATACTGTAAAGTGTAGTGACTGTGTATTTTTGGGGCAAGGATATGAGGAGGGCAGAGTGTGATGACATAGATGGCATGGCATTCGTATGTAATGAACCATATTAACACACGCCATAATTTCGAACCTGTTCTTCCTCCCTTGTCAGAAGGACCGTCTGGCAAGTCGAGACCAAGAAATATTTCCCAATTTTACCTGACCGCAAATTTCAACGTAAAATGGCTACAACCAACCCCCAGCTGGAGTCCAAATCCCTGACTGTCCAGCGCCTTGGGACATCCTCCCGATGTGTAAGGTGCTGTGTAAATGTCATGTGTTGTGTTGCTGTTAAAACCGAGTGTAATTTGGAGCCTGGGAGATGAGCAAGTGTCTCTCAGTTCTCCCCATCACGGCCAACCTCCCCTCGCGGCTCCCCGTCACCTGGCGCTCAGGGAGGGAAGCTTTTACCTTCTTCTCATCTCCGTCTCGGAGCAGCTGGAGGTTGCTTCTCTTCTCGCTGTCCTTCCGCCGTAATGAGCTGCTCTGGTGCTCCAGGAGGTCCCCCGGGGGGGAGACGCTGCGGCCCAGAGGGTCCACCCAGGTGTACACGTGGTTGGTGATGTAGCCCCCCGGGATACGGCCGACCGAGCGCACGTGCAGGGTCAGCTTTTTGGAACCTTTCAGCACCTGGGAAAGAGACAAGTACAATGAGACTCACACAGCAGTGACTGCTGGTCAAGCGCTTTGAAACGTCCTTCTGGTGTGAAAGGCACTATATCAAATACAAAGATTATTATTATTATTACATGGGTATCTGAGCAAAGGTGTTTGCATATCCACGTGTACATGTGCAGCTCAGTTTGCACACTTTTTGCATATGTTAATTTATAATCCACGACTGTTCGTGGGCAATTGGCTGTTGCGTTTTGCCCACAAAGTACACAGTCACTACACTGTGAAGTGCATTGAGACGGCTCGATGGCGTAATAAGGTGCTATGTCAAATGCAAGGATTATTATCATTAACATTATTAATATTATTATTACAGGCGTGGGTCTGTCTATTCCGTGTGTTTGTGGGCGCTAGGCCATTTGTGTGTGTATTAACGAGAACAGTTAAACCGAGCAGAGAAATCCAACGAGTAGATTGAATGCACCGCAAATACCATAAAAAAAAGTAAATCATTTTTAGCTGCAAGGATTTGCACAAATGCGATCAATAACTCACAGAACGAAAAATTCCATTTGTTATTTATGAGATTACGCAACGAAGGACCAGAGCCCTCGCCAAACCCTCTTTCGTGCCGGGAAACGTGAACTGAGAAATTGCCGTAAAATACAATATTAGAAAAGAGCAAAATCTAGTTTACTGTCATGTGTGTTATTTACTATGGTTCTGCTGTGCCTTTACTGTACGACAGGAGATGAATTGAGATGCTAAGAGGCATTTAGCTAATGTATGGACGTTGTGTGTGTAATCTCTGCTAACAAATCTCACTGCCTCGGACAGAATGAGGACGCCAATAATTTAAGCACTGATTGCCATTTTGCATGATCAAACATATTGATACCATTCTGCTGGCGTCATCCATTGATTACATTTTTTTAATTTAAATTTAAAAATTGGAATTGAGGTACAGACCGGCCATGATCTAATAGAATGGTGGAATAGGCTTGAGGGGCTGAATGGCCTACTCCTGTTCCTATGTTTCGATGAAGTTCTAAGTGAAGCTGAATTGGCTTTGTTTAATTTTGCCCTCAAATTACACAGCCCCTTCATGTCAAGGTAAATCCTGAGTCATCCTCTTGGCACTGTACCAAATGCAAAGGTTATTATTGTTGTTATAATGTACCATTTCCCAGGGACTGAGGAATATCACTGATTCTCCACACTGCGAGTTAAGGGGCATCACAGCTCATAGCGTTGAAAACAATTTTTATGAAGGATTATTCCAATTACATATAAAAAAAAGCTCTCATTTGATTAGCTTGAAGTGAGAGTACTTTTTTTTATAAAGTTGAAATAACTTTAAAATTTACAGTCCTTAAATCATAGGATTTACTCCAAGCACACATCAATTCTGTTCAAATAGCGATTGAATTGCTATCCCTTGATTGGAGCGGTAATTTTTCATCCTCTCAAATGCTGCTCATTCAGTTCGTTGAGCGATTACCATTGAATAAAGGAACCATCTCATGCCTGGGGAATTATTATTCACTCCCTGGCAATCTCCATCAGCTCAGACCTCAATTTCTCCCTGCATTTTGAGTTCCAAGCTCCCATCGCTCAATCTAGTTTACATTGGAGAACTCAGCCTTGTTACACTCGATTGAGACCAAGACGTGAGAATGTGCAACTAACTCACTACAGGAAGCCATGGTCGAAGCAGAAAGGGTCAATGTATTTAAGACAAGCCTCCATGCATACACTGAGGGAAAGGGGAACAGGGGGGTGTCAGAGAAGGGATGGAGGCTCGTTTGGCTTACAGAGACCGGTATGGACTTCCTGGAGTCCCATAGGGTAGTGGTCAGAGCACTCGCCTCGCAAGTGAGAGGACCTGGGTTCAATTCCTGTCCTTAGTCCCCACCCCTCTGTTTACCAGTAGTAAGTAGGAACCAAGTTGTTAGTCGATTTTGGTGGATCGATTTTCTGGGGGTAATAATTCCTTCAATAAATGAATAAAATAATAATTAGGTCACTCAATCCACAACTGTGTGTGGGACACTGCTGTGCACAATTAGCTACAAAAGTTTTTTTCTTTTGGAGGGATTATTACCCCCGGAAATGATCCACCAATCAACTAATAACCGATTTCCTACTTAATGGTGGAACGGAAGAGACGAGGGGATGGGGTGGGAGGGGGATCACGCAGAAGCCCCGAGATAGCTGAGCGGACGGGGCATATTTTTATAGTTAGCTAAGAGTGGCGAGACTCTCTCTCTCTCTGTCTCTCGATTTACAGTAGCGTGACTCACTCTGAATTCAGACACCAATTCGAGATGTGCGATGTCCTTCAAGCTTTCACACTTCATTGAAGAACTTTCTGCTCAAGTAATTTTTACAGCAATACATCTATTCTAATGAAGCCAGCCATTAAATGTGGGAGATAACTGGCACACACAGTGCCTTGGCTTCCATCTCAGCAGCAGATTAGTCTTTCTTTTGGGACAAATTAGGCAGAAGTGAAGATGGTTTTCTCTTGTATGGAGGAAGCATATTTAATCACAATTTGTCATTCTCGTTATCATCATTAGCCTCTGTGTAAAGAAATATTTCCCACGGGCAGAACCTCAACTATTCTCCTGGAGATTTTCTTCACTGAAATAACATCAGTGATCCGAATGAGATCTGCTGAGCCCCAATCCCCCACCCTCTGGGTTATATTAACAAGTCTCTTCCTGCCTGTTCGCCGGGAGATTAACTGTCTATTAATTCGATCAAAGCACTGAAATGCTGTTCTCAGTTTAAAAGGTTAACAAGGAGAAACCATGAAAAGATCAATACTCTGAGAAGTGGCAGCCTTTTGCTGAAAGGTCTTTTTCAGGTTGGACAGGCGATGCATCAAAACTCAACTCGTATCTTCCTGTCACTGACCCGGTTTCAGTTCTCGCAGACGTAAGCCAACACTGGAGCATCAGATCCCATGGGAGGTTGTCTGTAAAGCTGTCGAGTCTTATGATTATTTCTCCTTATTGAGCTGCTTCTGCTTTGTAGTGCAATCGGCTGCCGCGTTTCGCCCACAAAATACACAGTCAATTCACTTTGCAGTGTATTCTGTGAAGCGCTTCGAGACGTCGCAACAATGTGATGGGGTGGGGTTGGGGTGGGGGGGGGAGGGCGGGGGAAGGGGGTCAATGCAATTTGGGAGGTGCCGTGCTTTGAATGAGCTGTTAAACTGATGTCCTGTCTGTGCCTGTTCAGGTGGATGTTAGAGATCCCTTGGCCCAGTTCAGAAAGAAAAGGGAGTTCCTCTCTCCTGGTGTCCTGGCCAACAATCCCCCCAATAAAATTGGTCACTCACTTTCATAGTGAGTTTCACACACCATTTTACACGAAACATGGCTGCAATGGTCGCCTACAAATACACAGTCACTACGCTTGACAACAAATCCCCATGAGTCTGGTTGAGGCATTTTGATATTACAGGTATCATGTGGTTTCTATGGATAAAACTCGGCCCTAAGTGAGCAAATCTGCCTTTGATTCGACTTCCATTGTTAGTCAGTGATCGATCAAGCAAATTATTCCAGAAAGGAAAATGAAGCGTTGATTAATCGTTGAATCTTGATGATATGGATTATGTTGATTTTAATGCCCATACTCCATTAACTTGTGCATCGCACAGTCTGGAAGGACTGCACGGGTTAGAGGTTCGTTCTCTGTAGACGAAGGAACATAGGAATATAGGAATTAGGAGCAGGAGTAGGTCATTTGGCCCCTCGACCCTGCCCCGCCATTCAATAAGATCATGGTTGATCTTCTAACCTAACTCCATCTGGTTGCCTTTTTCCCATATCCCTTAATCCCTCTATCCTTTAGAATAGGGATTGATAGGGGACCTGATGGAGGTGTTTACAATTATAAAAATAATACAATAATCCCTGCATTTGATACAGCACCTTATCACGTTGTCGAGACATCTCAAAGCGCTTCATAGAATATACTGCAAAGTGAATGGATTGTCAATGTTGTGGGCGAAACACGGCTTGTGATTCCACACAGCAGCGTCCCACAAACAGTCGTGATTTGAGTGACATTATTGCTATTAGAAATGGGTTTGATAAGGAGAAGGGTTTGATAGGCTTGTTGGTGATTCCATAAGAGGCAAAACATCTCGGCCCATTTCACAATGGGGTGGAATCCTATGAGTGTGAAGAGAGAAGTGGGAGGCGACTGCAGGTGTGGGCAAAGGGGTTTCAAAGTGGGATTTAAAGCCATGTAAAGAGGGGGCGTGGCAGAGGCAACAGTGGGATTTTTGGAGGTGAGAGTCTGCAGCTCAACAAAATGGGGAGCCCAGAGGGTGCGTTGGGGTAATTGCTGGAGTCTAACCAGCTAAATCCGCATAATTTGCCATTAATATTGCCATCTGCCAAGCTTTCCCGCTGCTTGTCCAGCTAGGACCTCCCACACGTTAGGGCTTAACACTTGCAGGGTTAATAGGAGTCGAGTGGGATGACTCCGTGCTCCCAGTGACTGGTCTAAGCGCAAAGAAGAGACTGAACAGTATATGTCTCTGGGCTGTACACTCTTGCTGATCGGTTTACTTAGGTAACGCTCCTTTAACTCAATATTTATTTACGGTCCAAGAGCAGCTCACAGCATTATTGATGGATGATAATTGCAGGGCCACAGGCAGGCAGCAGGCAGGCAAGTCAGTGACATATTGACATGCTCTGCTTTTACATCAATGTGAAGAGAGTGGATGTTGGTGACAGTTTATACAAAATGGGACAGATTTTCCCCCCAGGTCCAGATTTACTCTATTCACAGAGGCTTTTCGGAGTATCCAGAAATTAACACATTTCTCAAACGCACCCTCTTTATTTTGAAGTCAACATCAAAGGTGAGACTGAATTCAACTCCACACAGGAAGTGATGTCAGCGCGCTCCCTGCACGCAGCGCGTCTAACGACCCAGAGCACTGCACATTAGAGCGTTTCCTGGAAAGCACTTTGGGGTGTCATCCTGATGTGAAAGGTGAAATGGTAGGATTATTAATACTATTACTAGGCAGCCATTTTTTGGCATCAATGTAGTTGGGACCCACAGGATACATACATTATAAGCAAATCGGTCATGTTTCATATCAAGTTACTTATGTAACTGAGATGCTTTGTCATCACCCTCTATTCTGCTATTCCCAAAGAAGTAACCAATGTATTTTTTTGCACCTTTTTTTTTGCAAACATCTGTTCCAAACAGACATCAGCCAAGAGCCTTGAAATTCCACCTAGTTTTAGCCTTTAGGGCCATTTCGTCTCAGGATTTAAGGCAACGCAGTATTGTTGAAAGACTCTTGAATTAGGAAGTGGATTTCTTTCCAAGAACAGCGGAAGGCCAGCTTCCGAATAAAAACTGAATTGAAGAACTTTTCTTAACTTTTCTGTGTTTTTTTTAAAAAAGAACAATTCCCGCACTTAATTTGGAGGCGAAACGGTTCCAGAGGCTAAGACTGGGTGGAATTTCAGGCCCTGTAGAAATGTTTTTGGCCACGGATATGGGACCGGCACTTTTGATTTGTTGGAAATTCAATTAGATCAGATGTTAATCCACCAATAAAATCATCAGCAGTGTTCCAGACTTCAGGCTATGGTCAGCCAATATTTAACCATTAGCCAAAGATGAATATAGGCTGTGTTATTGAACCAATTCTAATGCAGAATGTTCTTCTCAATCAGTCAGGGGGTTATAATGTGTTTTGAGAGAAGGCACTCCAATCAATGCTGCATAAGGTCAGGGACATCTAGTCAACACATGGCCTGAGCACTGGGCTGGAGGTTATCGGTTCAAGTCCCATATCAGGGCTTTGAGCTCACAGTCTAGGCTGACACTCGAATGCAGCACTGGGAGATGTGCTACACTGTCAGGGGTGCCATCCTTCGAATGAGACACCAAACCGAGTACTGTTCAGGTGCACTTTGAAGATCCCATGGCACTATTCGAAAAGAGAAGCGAGTTTTTCCCGCTGTCCTGACCAAAAATCTCCCAAGTAATAATAATAATAATCCTTGCATTTGATATAGCGAGATGTCTCAACAACATCATAAGGCACCGTATCAAAAGCAAGAATGGTTCTTATAAGAAGAAAATAACTTGGAAAACAAGTCAGGTTGTGCAAGCCCTGACAAAGAAAATTTAAAAGATGTCATAAGAAAACAAGGCAAGGCTAAAAAAAAACAAGCTGTTTCCTAATACTGTTTCCTTAGCAAACTCTTGTGCTTAGTCGATGTTAACGATACGCCGTTTGAGCTGTACACTACAAAGATCAGGTCGGCTGGAGAATTGAGGTCCAGTGCAATCAATATTTCATTATTTCAATAAGGGAAGCCTTGTAATAAATGTTCGCCCACAGGAGAGTTTCGCTCGGATTGACCGTACATTTCATTACAGGTCTTTCTTCGTTTGAAAAATGAATTGGTCCTGGCTGGCGGAACACTTTTTGCTTATGATCCTGTGCGATTCAAAAAAACAGGTCTGAATTCCTGGGGGAATTCTGAACTGCATATTCAGGGAGTCTGGATTTTAGTCCCATTCAGTACCACTCACTACCCAGTATCTCTGTGCAGCTCTGTGTTAGAGCAATGCTCTGTCAACAAGGTGTCAGCCCGGCTGAAGTGATAGCAACTCTCATCACCAGATCAGACATGTACCAGAGTCACGTCAGCTCACAGTCCAGGCTGACACTCCGATACAATGCTGGCGATCTTTTTCTTGAGACTTAACACCAAGGTTCTGTCTGTGTCTGTCCTGGTGAACTTTAAAGTACCCCTGGCGCTATACGGGAAAGAAAGAAGAGGGTTTTTCTGGTCGACAATCCCCCATATTAAATAAGAAAATTTATTCCAAGTGGGCAAATTGACTGCAGTGTTTTCCTACAAATGCACAGTCACTACACTTTACAGAAAATTAAGATTTTTCATCTTTATAGGTGCTGCGTTGAATTATT